GGGCTGAAGGTAGAACTGGGAAGGTTTCTTGGAGGAGTGGGGTTGGGTGACCCTGGAATCGGACCTTTGAGAAGCTTGTCAGAGGACAGTGTGGGAGGCTCCAGGTCTCAGCTGGCTTGGGGAGGGGTGGGGATGACCTCGGGGTTTGTATCGATGGCAGAACTCACCCAAGCTTCTCCACAGTGGCACTGACGTCTTGGGTAGACCGCGTCTTTAACAGTTCACCAGGGCGGGGGGTGCCTGCTGGGCAGGAGTGCTGGGCTGGGAGCGGGCAAACAGGTGGTTACGGAGGGAACAGGATCTCTCCAAGATTTATTCTGATTCCTAGATCCTGTAAATCCCCAAATTAGGGTTCTCCATGGGTTTCAAGAAGGCAAACCAGAGAAGAGTGAGCAGGGAGCTGGAGTCCTGCTCTCTAGCCCCCTTCCCCTGGAGGCAGTGGCCGTGGCCGTGTGGCTGTGATCATCGCTGATCACTAGTAATGGACACTGCAGGTCTCAGTAACGACAGGATTCATTCATCGCAGTCCCCTCATCACTGGGGGTCCTCTCAGCAAAGGAAGGGGGGCAGGGGGGCCCTTGAGCCGCTGTGGACCCTGGGTCCCAAAGGAGGACAAAATAAAAGTGTCCTGGTAAGACAGTTCTTCACCTTACTTCAGTCAGTGCCTGCAGTGAGGACGGTGAGCAGGCAGGCGAGGGGCAGGGGGGCTCCCAGCGTCTTCTGAGAGGTCTCTACTTCCCCTCCTCCCCGTGTTTACATGGGTCCCGGTTGGCTGAACTTGAGTCCCCCTGCCCTTCTGAGCTCATGGGCTACTGAATGGTCAGCCGTCCCCGGCCCCCACCCTGCCCTTTCCTAGTGCCCTTCACTACTGTCCTGAGATTTGGGGGAGGTGTTAAGTGGGGAGTTGCTCACTCTGATCCCAAGTGCGTGTCTCTGCCTCTCGAAGGGTATGTTTCTTATTTTGCCGGCTGGGGCACAGGCTTGAGGAGTGTCTGGGGGAGGTGGCAACGCTCTTGCCCATTCTAGGTGGTGACGAGGGAGACAGAAGGGGCGGGGAGCTGGCGATCCATCATCTCCCCCCTAGAGCAGACAGGGGTAGTTTTGTGAAACCAGGTTTTCCTGATCTTAGCATCACACACACACACACTCTCTCTCTCTCTCTCTCTCTATCTCTCTCACCCACCCCAAGAGACGACACACAGATATACTGACATGTTTTCTCCCTGGCAGTCTGTCCTGTGAGTGCTTCCAGGGTAAATTCCCTAAATAATCCCTTTGCATGAGTCCCCCTCCCACCGTGGATGAAAACCTTCCATGACTCCCCGGTGGCCACGGGGTGAGGCTCAGACTCTCTAGCCTAGCATTCAAGGTCTTCTCTGATCTGGTCCCAACCTGACTTCCCAGCCCGGTCTCCCATAATCCTCCTAAAGAAAGACAGCTGCTATGCGCTTACATTTCCTCCTTCTGCCTTAATCACCAGGCTGTGCCCTCTTCCCACGCACATCTCTACTGGGTCAGGCCACTTCCTCCAGGAGGCCTTTTGGACTGCCTTAGCTTACAGCAACTTCTTCCGTAGCATGTCCTTGACATTTGGAGGATAAGTCTTTCTACAGATTGCTGGGAGGGCCCTTTTCCCCTACTTCTGAGCTTCTCAAGGCAGGGCCTGTATTCATTCATCTTTGTTTCCTGGATGCCAACATGGTACCTGGCATCTGCACGTGTAAACAGCTGAGCACCTGGCTCCAGAGAAGAGCATCCATCTGAATTGGGTCAGGCCCCTGCTCTGGCTCTTCCTGGCTGTGTGATCCTGAGCAAGCAACTTATCCTCTCTGGGCATCAGTTACCCAGTTGTACCACAAGGATGTTAGACCTCCCTGCTCTAAGATGCTATATTTCTGTGGTCATGAGGATGAAGACAAACATCCTCAAACAGATGCACAGATAGCCCCTTTCAACATAGAGGGTGAGGAGGCTGGGGGTGGTGACTGGTTCAATGGCAATCAAACCCAAGGATCCTGAGAGCTCCTGACTCAGAGAGAAAGCAGATTAGTGTCAGGTCTAGGCAGATCCGGGTGACCTTGGACTACTTCCTTTACCTCTTGCACCCTCAGTTTGTGTATATGAAAACTAGGGTGAATGTTTCAGGCTACCTTGGGGCACTGGAGAAGATTAAGTAGGTGGAAGCTTACATCATGCACACAGTCCATCCAGCGACTCAGTTCTTTGGGGAGTTGTGTGTCTGGGAAACCTTCCCTTCTCATGTCTCCTCGTGGGGGCCCTGCTCTGTTTCTTCTCTCCTGGATTGCTACCTGGGAGAACCCACACTCACCTCTCCTGCAATCAGCTGGGGGTGTTTGGCAGCCGGCCTTAGTGGGGTCCCTGCTGGGAGGTCTGGGCTGCAGAACACCTGGTGAGCTTCCAGTTAGCTCCTGGGGGGACCTCCTGTGCAGATGCTGCTCTGCAGGGATCACAGGATTTCCCACACCCCAGGCTCGCGTGGTGTCCATTCTATCCTGCCCCCCATCTGACCTGACCTCTGGGATCTCTCCCAGCCTGAGACACAGTCCCCTGGCCTCATCACCCTTCCCTGGAAACTCTGAGGCTGGAGTTGTCCACAGTGGCCAGGAAGATTCCTCAGAAATGTGAGGAGAGGGGAGGGGTCTTGAGTGAGGGGAGACCCCTGTGGGAGACCCTTGTCCTACATTATGGCCTCTGGCTCCCCTTCCCTTCCCATGTCACCCCTGGGAGAGGGTTGGATGAAGGCCCCAGAGAGCACCCCCAAATTCCTGGGCCCCAGCCACCACATGACCTTAGAGTCAGGAAACTTTCTTTTCAGGGAGCTGAAGGGGACCTGGAATATGTTCAGGGGACCCGAGGGTCTGGCTTCCCAGCCCCTCCGCACCCTGTGATCTCCAAGGACCCTGGGCCATCCAGACCTGGGAGGAGCTCCTCTGTTTCTGGTGTGGGAGGTTCATTCATACTGACGCCTCTCAGCCCAGGGCTCTTGAGAGAAGAGGGGACAAACTGTGGGAAAACTGAGGGAGAGGAACGAAGCCCAGCTTGGGGAGGAGGTGGGTTGTTGGGAACAGTTGGGAGGATATGATAAAATCCAGCGCTTTCTCCTAGGGAAGAAAGACCCTAGAAAACAAGTGGGGTTTGGGGACCAGGAGGGAGAGGCTGAGGACAGAGAAGGGCCAGCTGCTTGTTGGGGGCCTAAGTGAGAACTAGCAAGAACCCAGAACAGAAATGCCAGTCAGGATCTGGAGAGATTGGTGTGGTTGTGAATCGAATGGAACATCCAGGTCACTGTGAATAAGTCTGTGAGGGCTGAGTCACAGTGTTTCATTTTTATGACCGGGATCGGCCTCTGCTTTTTGGAGGCCCAGAGAGGGCAGAGGGCCGGGCAAAGTCACACAGCGCTCGCCTCTGACCAGGCGCTGTCCTGGCCTGGCTTTCTCTCGGTCTTAGTTTCCCAGCCACGCTTGATCTGATTTTAAAAATATATATTCTCCACTCTCCACAATCTCCCATGCTCTCTCCAACCCCTTTCCCCCCTAGATAGTTATGTATGAACTTTGACCCCGGGAAGCCGCTTGGGGGGAGAATTTTGGGAAAACATGATAGAGCCTCATAAAGAATTCCGACAGCTTGCAAACAGCCTGTGCTAAATTGCCCCTTCAAGTGAAAATTAAAGCAAATGTCTGTTTTATGGCCATGTTTTCTTGGGCTGCAGCTATGGCGGGAGTGCAGGCGGCTCAGAGCGGGGAAGCGTGGAGAGGGTGGAGGCGCTCAGGGCGCTGTGTCCCTGCGCAGGCCCTCTGGTCCACTCCATCCGTCCGCTTCTTTTCAGGGCAAACATGATGTAGAAACAAGCTTATCCCCACAGTCTCTCTTCAGGACCATCTTCTCTCAGTGGGACTTTAAAGCATTCTTGCTCTTTTGGGGGCACCAGCCTCCCAGAGTGCCAGTGGCAGAAACCCTGAGGTCATCCCGGCGAGGGGCTTGACTGGGGTCTGTGACGCCCTGGTTTCTCTGGTGGGCCTCCAAGGTTGCTGCTAGGGTAGAAGGAGGGACTGCTGCCCGGGCTCCAGATCTGCTCTTACCACACTATCTTTTCCAGAATAGTCCACTTTTGCCTTTAGGCATATTGTTTGAAAAGAGCTTCTAAGGCAATAAGAATAATAGTAATAATTATGGTAATAATAATTATAATAATAAAGAAAGGAAACCACTGGTCTACTCTGATGCCTTCATTACATAAAGGAAGATGCTGAGGACCAGAGGGGATGTTTGGGGGAAGATCCCTGGACTGGGTAAAAGGAAATCTGGGCTCTGATTCTGACCCAAGTCACTTCCCCTCTCTGGACCTCAGTTTCCTCATCTATAAAACTGGATGCTCAGATTCCAGGAACTCCAAGGTCCTTTTCAGGCCTGTGAAGCCCTAGATAAATAAGCACATAATTAATGTACTGGGATGGGCCAGGTCCTAAGTGCTGTGCATTTTCCATGGGTCGTCCCTTTTAAGACTCCATAACTTTATGAGGTGTCATTACTCCTGTGAGATCACCAAGGCACAGTGAGGTTAAACAACTTGGCTGAGATCCTTCAGTGGCAAAGTCAGACTGGAACCCTGACAGTCTGTCTCCAGGGCCAGGGTACTCAGTCACTGCTCCCATGTGGGCAGGCTCCAGATCAGCCAGCTGAGGAGTGGGAGCCCAGCACCCCATTCAGCTAGGGTGGTTTGGGCCTCACACTGCCTGGAGGCTGCTGGGGTCTGCTGTACAAGAGCATAACACTTGGAGAAGGGAGCTTTGGGCCAGAATGGGGCTTCTTATAGGAGGCTTTGAAAGGCCGAGAGGAACTTTCAGATTTGTTACAAGGTACTCCAGGAAGCTGTAAGGGTTTTGTTTTTTTTAATGCTATTGTGTTAGTTTCAGGTGTATAGCAAAGTGATTCTGTTATACATATATATATCAATATCTATATTCTTTTTTAAAAAATTCTTTTCCATTATAGTTTATTACAAGATGTTGAATATAGTTCCCTGTGCTATACAGTAAACCCTTGTTGTTGCTATAAGGGTTCCTGATCAGGGCAGCAACTGTGTAATATTACAGAAAATCCCCTCCCTGGCTCTCACCCAGAGGCCTGCCCACCTAGGAGAGCCTGCAATAGGCAGCCGGACTGGCCCAGCCTGCAAAGTCAGTCAGTGAGCCCCCACCCTCTACAGCGTCCCTTCCACCCTGGTTATTCCAGCCTCTTCTCAGAAGCTTCACCGCTAGAACTGGATGTTGGATCTGGCTTCTTCCTCGGAAGACAATTTATGGCGACATGTCGGAGACTCTGTTTTAATGAAGTTGCAAAAGTAGGTTAATGGGCTGTGGGTGTTTTTCATTCCCCTCCCCCTGCCCCATCTCCACCCCTGGGCGGATGAATGATGCCTTTCCCAGCATGATGCAGAGTCGGGCTGAGAATCTCAGGACCGGACTCAGGCGCTCACACAACTCTTCCTTGGTCTCCGGCGCAGCTCCTCCCTCCCTGCTGCTTGGAAGGTGCTCTGCAGTCTAACCCCAATCCCTCCTGTTGTAGCCAGGCCCAGAAGATGCTCCAAAGTCTGCCCAGAGGAAAAGAGTGTATTTGAGTGGCAGGGACTAGGGCAAGGGCTGGGGCAGAGGTGAGACCCTGGGGAAAAAGGAAGCTAGACTTATGGGCAATTGACATCTTTAGGATTGGAGAGGCATGGAGATATAGACACTTGGCTAGCATGGACCTGGAGAACTCTGCAAATTTGGGGAGAAGAACCAAGTTTCTAGGAACCTCTCCAAGTTGCTATCCCTGCTTCCCTAACTCATCTCTGTGTGTCCTGTTAGCATGCCTGATACATGGCTGCCCTGGCAAATGTTTGCTGAGTGAATGATGGATACAGGAGTGAATGACTCTTTTCACCCCAGCCCAAGTCTCTGGATTCCCCCTCATCCTCACTCACTTCTGAAACGGCCTTCAGCCTCTTCCTGCTTGGGACCCCCTCCCTTCCCACCTCTCTGCCAAATCCTTGCCCTGAACTCCCATCTTTCAAGAAGTTTTCCATCATTAAGCTGCATTCTCCATTTATTTGCCTGAGTCCAAGGTGAGGGTCTTGGACCCTTCCGGGTCATCCCTGGAAGACTGGAGTCTTCAGGGAGAAGGGTCTCTATCTTTTTCCTCCAGATTCTCCCCTGTTTCAGCAATCCCCAGGCAGGGCTCTAAGCCTGAGGTGGGAGCTGTTGGGAACACACACCCTGGAGGGCCATCCTGTAGCCTAGGCCCCTCTCCCTGGGCCTTCCTTCCTCTCTACCGAAAGCTGGGACCATGCCCAGTCTCTGGCCAGCAATCACTCCCAGGGGAGTAAGGATCCTTCCCCACTCCTAGCCCCTTGCTGTCAACAAATGAGGCTATTGGCCAAAGTTTGGTACCTGAATACCAAGGTGGGGTGAACAGGTGATCCCTGCCCTGCAGCCTTAGATTATCCCCTTTTTCTGGAAACCTGGGCCATCTCTGCTCCCCACCCCCAGCATTTTGTCTTTGTTTTATTTTTTACAGCCTTAGCTCTCTTCCCTGTCCGAGCTCAGGGAGCACAGGCTTCTAGACTAACCCTATTAAAATTCCAGAGAAACCCTACCATAAAGCCCAGAAAACCCACCATAACATCCAACTGCACAGGAATATCCTGAACCTTACACCAGCATCCAGGATCTAGAATAACATCCCCACAGCCTACAGTAATGCCCAGGCCGTGCTGGAGTGCTCCACCTGGGCTCCCTGCAGGAGCACCTGACCCCCCGGCTGGCTGCTTGCCCCCCTGCACTTGTTTTCGTTCCTGACCCAGACAGGACATGCTTTTTGAAGACTCCAAAGCCCTCCCCCGACCTTAATCCCACTCAGTTTCGTTGTGGCAGAGGGAAGGGCGGGTGCACAGGGCACGGATGTGGGTTCGGGGGAGCACGGAGGATGTCAGTCAGGGCCCAGGAGAGGGACCTAGTCATCTGCCAACTTGTCAGGATGTCCGAGGAGCTCAGGCGGGGCACCTAGAGGTTAGATCTTGGGAGGCCCTGCTTGAGTCGGCCAGGTTCGTTCACAGATGGGTAAGCAAAGTGAGGATGTGAGAGATGTGGCCTTCTCTTTTCCTGGGTCCCAGCTAAAGGGCTCTCCTCACTTGAGATGTGGGGGAAAAGAGGGGTGGGGTCTGGGAGGACAGCAGACCAGATGGCCCCAGAGGGCCAGGGAAACCCAGAAGCCATGATAGTTTACACCTGATGTGGGAATCCTGGGGCTTCTGTGGAAATGTCCACTGACAGAAAAGGAGACAGGACTGCTGGGTTCCCAGGACACACATCTATACACACATCCACTGTACAGATCTGTTCTGGGTCTGGGTTGGGGGTGGGTATGGGAGAGAAAGGTGATGGGGTGTTGGCAATGGCAGTTCGGAGGGAGGACACACAGGCCCATTCTGTTAGTCTGATGATAGAGGAGACTTACAGCTAGAACCTGATTTAGGAATAGCTGGAAGGGAACAGATATTCAGAGCACGGAGAAACAGAGGAAAAGAACTGAGGGTTTCAAATCAGGAGGGCTTCGTGGAGGAGGAGAGTGGACAGCAGGGATGGAAAAGAAGGAAGGGGCAAAGTTGGGGAGGGCTCTGGGCGGGGCTCTGTGACTCTCACAGTGGGCGAGGCAGGTTTCCTGGCCAGGCTGAGAGTCCCACCTGCAGAGTCACCAGAGGTTAGAATCTGGGGGTAAAATTCTGAGGAGAATGAGTGTGAAGGTAGAGGTAGGAGGTGTGAGGCCTCCAGTCTCTGCCCTTAACCCCGGACCTTGAGCAATGCACACATACTTCTAGTGTCTTCTTTTCCTAATCTTAGAGCTTTTTTAAAAAAAAGCTTCTCTGGTGAGTGAGAGCACCGCTTGGGAGGTGGCTATTTGCGCCCCAATTGAATAGGTTTCACCAGTGTCAGGCCCTCCTGCTATGAGAAAGCAAGTTCGGAGGGGGCTGGGACAGCATTCCAGGCCCACCACTGCCCCTAGCCAGCCCCTTCTACAGCCTCAGTTTCCCCACCTGTAAAACGAGGGGAGTTGCGCTGGCCGGTCACTCAGGGCCCCTTCCTCCTTCTGATATTTGTTTAATAATTTTCAAGAATTTATAAGAATCAAATGAGATCATGGAGAACAAGAAGCTTTGCCAAAATATAAAGCATGGTCTCCATGTGAGGGGTGGAGGGGCTTCCTGGGGCTGGGGAAAGTTGCTTAGAGGCGTGTCATGGGCCAAGGTCCATCTGGGTTGGGATCTCTGGAAGGGAAAGGCAGGGGCCCCTGCTGGGTTTATGCCCCTCCCTTCCCACAGCCTTGCCGACACTGCACCACTGCCTTCCCCCTTCCCAGCCCAGCTCCAGGCTCTGGGGACCCAGCCCTGCTCAGGATGGGGGTGGGGCTCCCAGGGGCAGGGGCAGAGGGTGGGAGCCTCCTCTCCAAGTGGCTCCAAGCTGGAGCACAGCAATTACGCAGGAGGATTTATGTCCCTTTGCCTTTAATCGGAAACTCCGTGTCAAGAAGAAAAATCTGCACTGTCCTCCGGCCCGGCTTCCTGCTTTATCATTATTATTGGAGGAAGGTTGATTTGGAAACTTAAAGAAAGTGGGGTGGGGGTGGGAGCCACCAGGGAAAGGGAGGTGTGGGGCAGATGGTGGCCTTCCTACTGTTTGTCCCAGTTCATCACAAGAAAAGGACAAAGAGCAGGACAGGGGCTGGGGGTCCTGGAGGCAGTTGAGAAGAGACTAGAGGTTTACTAGGGGAACGTAGGGGCTGGGGTCACAGAAGGAAGGGGCGTCTGGGAGCAAGAGAGACACTGGGAGGGAGGGAAAGGGTGGGTGACCACAGAGGGCAATCAGGGGTTGAAGGGACTTGGGAGAGAGGATGAAGAGAACTAGGGCTCATGGTGGAGGGAAGGGGCCACCAGGGGCTGGAGGGACCCTGTGGGGGGAAGGGGAGGGTGGAATAACCAGAGTGGGGAGCAGCACCTCTCAGTGGGGTGCTGTGGGAGGAGAGTGTGGGGTAACCAGGGGGGACCCAAAGCAGAGGGAAGCAGAGGGCTCGGGGAGGTTAGGGTGGGGATGGGGGTAACCAGAAGGGATGCCCAGGGGCTGGGGCTGATGGGGATTGGGCTGGGGACTCTGGGACTGTGGCCATCTGGGTCTATACCTGCTGAGCTGTCCCCATGAAGGCTGTTCCTCCCCTGGCCCACCCAAGACCCATGTCTCTTAGTCTCCTGAGTGAAGGGCACTGGCCTCCCACAAAGCCCCAGGTTTCCCCTTCCACTTTGGGAGCAGTTTCTCTGGGAAATGGGGCATAGTGACTGGGAATATGCTGTGGGAACCTTGACTCTTGGGCACTGGGGAGACTGGAATAGAAGTGTTGGAGGGCGAGAGGCCTGCTCCCTGGAAAACAGGAGGGACCCAGGAGAGATCTCCTAATGCCTCCCACATCCTTGTTTGGAAGTCCCCCTAGAGTCTTACCTGTTGCCAGGATTTCATTCTCTTGTGTGGAAAGGCACCAGCTCTGGAATTGGTCCCTGGAAACAACTCCTTGTGTGCACCTCTGTGAGTCTCAGGTTTCGCATCCGCGACACAGTGACCGTGGTATCTACATGGCAGGGTATTGTCAGAATTAGAGGTGATTAGGTTAAGGAGCCAGCCTGTGGTGCACCAGCACCCCCGGGGGTCGTTCCCAATATATGCAGCCTTCTTCCTTTACAGAGCATAGGTTAATTCTCTATGTGTTTCCTCACTGAGCCTGGGTGGGTGTCATTAGTGATGGGAACCATGGCACAGAGCTGCTGAGTGACTTGCCCAAGGCCACACAGCACATCGTCGGAGCAGCCAGGTAGAACAGCCCCATAATACCACCTGAGGGGCTTGAAGATATCCCCCTGGGTCTCCTCCCTCCATCCTTCTCCTGAGAGCCCCACACCCAGCCCCTCGTCCCTGGGATCTGGGGTTGAGTTTGGGGTACCTGGTGCAGCGCTTCAGCTTCCAATCCTCTTGCAGCTTGGACCATGCCCAACCTCACGCACCTCCTCCCCAGCTCAACTGAGAGGTTTTATAGCCGTTTACGAGCAATTTCTGTCCATATATCACCGGAGATATATAGCCAGGCAAATATTAGGGACCCAAGCGGAGGTTTTAAGAGGTGAGTTTTACTGCTGCTGAAAGAAAGCGTGATAGGCAGCCTGCGGAGACCCACCTCCCTCTCGCTCGCTCTGTGTCGGCCGGGCGGTGGCAGCATGGACTGGGGTTCAGCCAGGAAAACTGTCTGCGAGCCTGAATGTCAGGCTGGCACCCGTGGGTGCCTGATGGAGGGCAGTGGTCAAAGTTAGGGCTCTGTTCTTCAGAGAGCTGTTCTAGTGGGAGGAGGTGGGGGGCACAGAGGGGCACCCACTCCAAACCTGCGCACTGAGTTCCAACAGATTCCATCCACAGATACATGGATTGGAAGGAGACACCGGGAAAGTACTGATCCACACAGGCCGCTGGAAAAGGCTATGCATTGACTTTCTTTGGAAGCCCTTAAAAACTGGGTCCGAACAGGGAAACCTTTGGCCAGAGGCAGAGGGCTGGACACACGGCCTCTTACCCACTGGGGCCCTGCCCCGGTGATGCTGGAGGAGGGCCTGCAGGAGGTCATGCTTGACCTCCTCTGCCGCTGGGTCCCAGGTTTGGCCCACGTGGTCCCTGGCCTGTGTTTGGGTGAGCGCAGCGGGGTGAGGAGAGCCTTCTTGGCTTGCGGCATATGGTGAGAAGATGTCCCGGGGAATCCTCGCTCCTGATTTAAGCAGCTCCGACAGCTTTATGGCGCCTCCTCGAGTGAGCCCCCAACGTTGGCCGTTTAACTTTTTAGCGTCGTTTAACGCTTAGACTCTGGCGGACAGGCAGGCCCCTCGGCCCCAGAGGCAGCAGCACTAAATCAGAACACTCTGAGGCCCCGATAAATAATTTTTACAGGGCACGCAGCCCATAGATCACCCGTGGGGGTGGGGGGAAGAGCGGCTGTGATATTTCAACCAATTGTCATATATGACTACCCCGTGCTCTGATCCAGGTCATCCACATGGCAGCCGGCTTCATAACTACAGTCAGTTCCAGGGCCCTCCATGCAGGGTATGGGAGGGGCA